GTTCTGATCAACCTGTTTTATCTACAATAAATAATAAAGTTTAAGTTTTGTTTTAGTTTAGAAGCTGTAGAACCTAAGGATGGGCTGAAAGTTAAAAAAAGAGAAAGACAGTAAATGCAAAATGTTAAGATTTTATTTACAAAGTCCTTTTTGTATGTTTTTGAGTATTTAACTTACAAAAAGTAACAAAAAACAAAACAAAACAAAAGAAAAAGAAAAGAAAAACAACCTGATCTGATAGTTTCAGGTGTGGAGGAACATCTGGATCTCTGCTCAAAYGCTTTGAGGAGACAAAAACAAAACTAAAACAAAAACAACGCTCTGAAAAACATAATTCTTTAAAAAAAGCTCTGCTGGCAAAACAAAACAAAACAAAGAGTTTAGCCCTGAGCGCTCGGCCGCGGGGACGGGACGATAAAAAGAGGCGATTTATACAAAATAAATTCTGTCGGAATTTATTCACATTTTCTAGTTTTCTTAAAAAAGCTTCGCCACTTAACGGACTTTTCTCTGGACCACAGACTGAAACTGAAGAAACACTGAGCTAACGATGGAAAAATTAAAGTTTCTGTCTGGTTTTTAACTTTATTTTTTAATCCAATTATCACTTTTAAACATTGATTTATTTACTTTAAAAAGAAACTATGAAGTTGTTTGTGCTGAAATAAAAACAGAATTTCATGTTTCTGTCTGAACGAGTGGTGAAAACATTTGATCTGAAATGTGATTTTTTAAAATGTTTTTCAACATTTTATTCCTGAGTTTATAAAAATGTGTTGAAAAAGAAAAAGAAACGATGATGATGATGATGATTAGACGTAAATAAATAAAAATCCGATCGAGTGGAAAAAAGAAGAAAAGATGATGAAAGTTGTTTTTGGTTTGTGGCGGGAAGCTGATGTCAGAAACGAGACGGAGTCCAGGAGGAGCTGAGGGGGAGGCAGAGGGGCTTCATTCATCTTCATCATCCTCATCGTCAGGCTCCCTCTTCCTCTTCTCTCCTTTAGCCGGAGGCGAATCCTCGTCTGCAGAGAAACACTTAAACTTTAATAACTTTTTGATTTAGAAACATTTAAAGTCTTAAAATCTAAAATAAAAGACGGGAGCTACAGAACTCACCGTCCTCCTCCTCGTCTTCCTCCTCTTCGTCGCCCTCACTGTCCACCTCTCCGTTCAGCCCTGCGTCCTGCAGGAATGAAGACCAGCAGCTTTTTAACAACAAACTAAAAGATAAATTAAACCTTTGTGGTTTTTCAGTCTGACCTCATCATCACCGCTCTCGTCATCTTCATCTTCGTCCTCTTCAGCCACCACGTCTTCTTCATCCTCCTCTTCCTCCTCCTCGAAGTCCTCAGACTCTCCTTCTTTGAAATCGAATCATTTCAGTTTAAAAAAAAACATTTAAAACATTGAAAACGTTTCCCCGAGTCAGCGTCTCACTGACCTTCGTCGTCCTCTTCGTCGAGGCACTCGCCCTCTCCGTCAGAGTCGGACGCCTCGCAGTCGTCCACGTCGTAGCCGTCCAGGTAGGTGAGCTGGGGGAGGAGCCTAAAGATGGAGTCTCTGTAGTCGCCCAGGTTGGTCACCTCACAGTTGAACAGGTCCAGACTCTTCAGCTGAGGCAACTTTTTCTGAAACAAGGACCAGACCTGAGCTGAGCACACCTGTGCAGGTGAGGACTAAACAGAAACAAACAGTTATTTACATTGAACTCTGCTTGTTTACACAAACACAGGTGCCAACCTGGAGCCCACCGATCGTCTCGGAGCATTTGTCGTGGTGTGTGCTCGTTACTGGCAGTTTGTGCGCCAATTTATCATCAAATAAAACAAAAATAATAAAAAATATAGTTTTTATCTTTAAMCTTCAAAGTACTCATACAAACCTACTTATTTCTAGATGGAGTAAGTAACAGGGTTCAACCGTATCGTGTGTAATTAATCGTCAGGAAWACAATCTATTTTTTGGCACTTTGACGATTAAAACGATTAACGCCACCAGGCAGAGTGACTGCAGGTTTCCCCGGTCGGTTCACTTTAAAGACTTTTTTTTAAAATGTTCTCTAATTTATTTATCGTAACTGTTTTTACTTGGTGTATCAACAATAAAAAAATTGATGTACAGCCTGAAGTCTGTACTTCTGACACAAATTGGAACAAATTTTTATGAAGAGCGAATCTTTCCCACTAGAGTGATTTAAATTGGTCATGTGACCAGGATATGAGGGACTCAAGGGACTTGGAAAATTAATCGTTATCGGCTAAATACCAACATTAATCATCATTAATTTTTTTTGCCWATGTTGCCCAACCCTAACAAGTAACTAGTGATAAAACAGAGTTTATAAAATGAGTTTATTAACAGTACTTTACGGTGCAGACATCTATCATATGACATCTGACATGCAATGAGCTCAATAATTAAATAACTTGATTCTTCATTATTATATTATACATTTTTATTATCATTATATCAACATCACTGCCGACATTTCGGCACTTCTTGTCGCGACCCACGGGTCGAACTTTTGTACCCCACTCCACAGGACACCAGAACTTTATTGTGTAAAAWGTTCAGAAGTTTGTGGGAGTGTTTGTTTGTGCTGAAAACGCTCAGACGCTGTTTTGATTCAAAAAAAGGCGACTTGCTTCCAGAGCCTGTTGTTCCAGGAAGCAGCGGTCTAAGAACTGGAGCTGAGCGCGGGGCGGCTCAGGAGCTGTGATGGTTCAGAGCAGGTCTCCATACTGGAATGATTACGGTCAGATCGTTGGCACCTCTGCAAACAGCAGGAGAGCCTGGAGCTTGTCAATTTGGTCCCAATGATATTTAAAACAGGAAGTGCTACAGCTATGTGCTGCTGAGAAATCTATGTAGCTAAACGAAAAACCTGACGGCTGTGAAAAGGTTTGGAAAATTAAATGCTCTCACAGAGACTCCTCTCAGTTTCAGCTACACTCAGACTAGCCGTCGTCTGCGGCCCAAACAGCCCTTAGCTCTCCTCCGACTAGCCCTTAGCTCTCCTCCGACTAGCCCTTAGCTCTCCTCCGACTAGCCTTCAGCTGTCCTCCGACTAGCCGTCAGCTCTCCTCCGACTAGCCGTCAGCTCTCCTCCGACTAGCCGTCAGCTCTCCTCCGACTAGCCGTCAGCTCTCCTCCGACTAGCCG